GGGTGGGTGGGGGGAAATTAGCAGGGTTGGGGACTGGCAACTAGCTTCCTAAAAACATTATTGCTTACCAAACAAGATCTGTGGCGTTTTATAAACCGTATACCTGATTACTGAGAGAGAAGACGGCCGGGAGAGGAATAAAAAGACAGAGAGAGAGACAAAGAAAGATGGAGCTGCTAGAGAAAAGGAGAGCAGTCTGAGGCGAGCCACAGGGGAGATGGCAGCCGTGGTGGGTGCCCTTGAAATTGCCTGACTCATTACTGCTGCGGCACGGCCATGCGTGGTGATGGCAGGCTCAGAGAGAGAGAGAGCTCTTGGCTGGGATCTGACAGTGGGAGAGTGAAAGACAGCCCTGTTTTTAAACCACCAGAGGAACACTTCAAAGGCTGGCGTGCTCATTCTCCCTTTTCAAACACCATCGTTTTCTACACTAAGGCAGAAGAGAAAAAGGCTAATTCATTTTCATGAGTAACCCCTCTGTTTTTTGTTTGATAAGGAGGAAATATGTAGGTATAAGAATGGTTTTAATCGAATACAGCACACAGGTGCATCTGGAAACTTTGAGTGACAGGTCTGTGTGGGCGACTCAACTCCACAGTAATCATTTCTTAAGCTGCGTGGGCTTTAGTCGAACTAGGACCAGCATTATTGCACAGCTGCCTGCTGCTATACCATTTATGGCATCTATACTCAGTGGAACGAAAGTTTAGTCCCCAAATGTACATAGATAACCAGGGGCGGGGAGTTCTATTTCCCTTCTTGTCAGGTTTTATATCGCCGGCAAGTAGAGCGGAAACCCAGCAGGATGGGTCAGTCTGTCCCAAAGCTGCGGCCAATTGCAGCCCACTGACAGCCTCTATCATCACTATTAAGGCACAGTGGCTGCTATGGGTTCCACTTTGTCCTCGGCAGGAGTTGAATGCCAACTTCAGGCCACAGCGGTGTGATAATAAGTGCACAGCCTCGTCCAACTCCAATCAGGGCTATAGTGATCTAGCCAACCTCTATTTAAGATGGCGCCAGTGCTCCAAGTGTGGCATTACTGAGAGAGGGAACTGTAATCTCATCACCATTAACCATGTTGCCTAAAACAGGCACAAGATGAAGGAAGTGGCTCTGTGGATAGGAGAGTCTGGCTCTCTGGTTTTAATGAGTTCAGAGTAAGATTGACAGGCCAAAACAATGTCACAACAAAATAACTTAAAATGATAAGACTGCTGTGTGGGTTAGTATTATCTAGAGGTTTCTAGGACTGACTCGGATACGTTTAAAGTTTCTGTCAAATAGATCGAGATCTGAAATGTTTTTGTGGGGAATTGGAGATTTTGCATTTAGAGTGCTTTCTGCTCTTGTGCATTACATTAAAATGGTGTTTAATGCTGTCCAATATGACAGTGGGAATAAAACGCTTCCTAATCAGAATGCATTAGTTCCCTGTGAGATCTGTGCTTCTGACGCAAAGCCAGAGCCGCATACAAATCCTCTTCAATCCTACCTTAATGTCCTGAATGTTCATAAATATGGTGCGCAAGCAAGCAATTATCTGAATGGTGAATGTTTGCCAGATGTGTGCGCGTCACCCTGCAACGGTGTCGGTCCTGGATGTGTTTGTGCATTACAGATTTGACCGCAGGAGTGTTTACTGGAGGAAAAGGATGCTAGCAGCAGGAGGTAAAGCTTTCAACATGGCAACAGGAGTCAAGGCCTGAGGTCAGTGGAGTGACATGCCAGGCTAAGAGGCTTACGGCCTGCCACAGTCTAACCAAAGGCTGCCCTCGTCAGTGGACAGTGGCCAGCCAAGCACACTGTCATCACACAGCTGACGGTGCCATGACATAACAGAAGTGCTGTATATCTAAACTCTTTGGGAATCTAGTTTGCTTGAAAAGATCAAATCCAAGGCTTTGATAACTTTAATGTGGTGTAAAAGAGTTGAAAAGCTTATGTCGAATATAAGCCATTAATGGATGCATGATGATGTTTTACATGGATAACATTTATCACCCACAAAATCTGTTCATTTGGCCAAAGCAGCTCTGGATCAAGAAAGAATACTTTTATATGCGTCTGTTTTTCATCACAGTGGCTGAGCTTAAAGGTTAGTGTGGAAATTAGATTTTGTATGTCTGATTGTGACATACAGTACACAACCGTCAGTGTTGAGATGAGTTAACAACAACAAGTGACGGAGGACATGTCCGTGTCATCCTGCTCCTCTGGAAAGTAGGGTGTGAGGATGACGTAACTTAAGAGCAAACACTGCTGGGAAAATGGACAGTGATAACTATTGCTCAACATATGTGCGTTTAGTTTTTTTACCCATAGAACAAAATAGTCAAATCGTTACAGAATAATAAATAAGGTTATTTGATAATACGAAATTCTACTCCCCATCTTTGTGAGATATTGTGACAGAAGAGTTGTACAGAACCACACATGATGAATTACATCACGCTAACAGAGACACAGGAGAGAGCAACATATTGAGACACAGAAGCAGAGACAGCTTACGCCAATCCCAAATCCCATGTGCAAAAGTGTCAAACAATTCAGCTCAAAAAACAAGCTTTGGCTCTCAACCTACCAAATCCTTACCCGTCTCATCTCAAAACGTTCCCACCCTAGAAAAACCATAAGGTTCATTTTTAAAGAGGCCACCAAGCTGGCACGGCATGAAGCCCTCTGGCCCAGTTAGTCAAAACACTGGAGCTGATGCTGCTGCACTTCAACACATCCTCCCCATGTTGTTTTGGCACTTCAGTGAAGCATTGTCGAGCATCATGCTAAAAGTGTGTGCCTGCAGGCGCAGCTCTCACACATTTGTTTTTATCTGACACCCAGTTCCTGCCTGCTCTCTGGAAGGAGAAATGAATAATAAGTTAACTTGTAAGTTGTCTGATATCACAGAGCATCACTAACACAGGCTTTTTAATTCCAGAAAATAAACATCACAGTTACAGAAGACACATTCCTAATAACATTAACTTTGTAAAGTCAAACGAACGTGACAGAAACATAATTGTAACACCATCTGCTGCCTTGTTCTGATGTTTGTGTTTGCCTGCTTAGATGAGGAGAGGTTACGTAACAAACCACCCCACTTGTAGATCTGAAAAGACGAGTATGCCAAGCTCATCATGGGACACGGTTGTGTCCGATGGGGCCTCTGTGTGCTCGTACTCTCTTTCAGTATTTTGGATCTGAGAAGACCCCAAAGCTCCTGCCAGAATACAAAATGGCAGAACACTGCATTGAAAAGAGCTCCAAGCAGAGGGACAAGCTGGTGTCCAAGAAAAGAGAAACATCTTGTGCTGGGCCTAATTACTTCTGCTTACGATTACACGGTTTTAACCTTTTTCAGGCTTCCAGTACAGAGCCTGATTGGAAATGAAAGAGTATTGATGTTTACAGCGCGGTTAATTATATTTAATGTAAAATACAGAAGGGCACCACTGTAGCTCTATACTTCCCACTAACCACATGACTATGTTTACATGTAATCAACTAATTTAATTAATTGTTCTTGCCTTTTATGCTTTAATTATCTCCCCACAAACACCACAATGGAGTTCATGTAAAGTCATCTATTTATATGCCGATTTTTGCAACCTTTTTTTTTTTTATTACCGAAAATATTCAAAAATCAGACTTAGTTCGTTGTGCACAAAGAATTTGAGGTTTCCAAACTGTGATTTGCTTCTCTTTTTTTCTCAAAGAGCTGTTGATAAGCACAACATCAGAATCTCTGAAAACTCATACATGGCGTCAGCTTTGAGTAAATAAATCCTATTTATCAATTCTGTCTAATTATTTCTTCATCAGATGGAATTTATCATTCAGCTGCAGTCTCCATACATACCTGCTCACACAGAGCAGTGAGCTTGACAGTGTCAAAGATACAATTTCAGCCTAAGGTCAAAGTAATGACAAGTCGATCTTATTGATACAGTCTCTTCAGCAGGGGGCAACTCAAAGTTACAGTGTCTTTGAAATGTTAAAAATGCTGACCAACAGCAAAACTGATAGTACTGCATTAACCTCAATATTAAGAAGTATTAGCGTAACTGTGAAATCAAAAGCAGTAACACACTAATGCTGAGCTTCAAAACAGCATGGCTGAGTGTAAACAATCAACATGTTGGCATGTTTCTTATCAGAAAGTTCACCAATATGTCTGCCAAAAAACTGCAAACCAAATGGTTTTTATGTTACCTAGAGCTGATCTCGGTATCTTCATTGGTAATAACAGACTTAAGAAATGAGACTGACTACACAACATTAGACTGGAATGTGTACATACTGGAGCAGAGAAGGAACGGGATTAGGAGCTTTGTTTCACAGTTATTGGATTTTGGCGCTGTGGGAAAGGAATTATCCAAACACTGAGAGGAGTGCAAACACTGAACCATTCCTGTTAATGTGGAAAACTTGATTCAGTGTTCACACATATGAAACATTAACATAATCTTTGAAAGGAATCTCATATCGAAAATGTCACTGTAATGAAACATATTATTGATCTTAATTTAAAAGGATCTGTTGTTGTTTGCAATAAAATTAAAATAAACTTTCTGCATTAAATATCCTTACTTCCAAATTCAAAATGAGACGGACCACAAGTCTTATAATTTATCTTATACATTACACAAACACACTCTAAAAATATAGCACTCAAACCACATTTTCGAAAATATTTCCAGAATTTAGCCTTTAAAAAAGAAATAATTGCAGGCAATATAAAAGCCTGGTTTGACATTTATTCACATAGGTTTCACTCCCCAGTACCTATGCCACTTAAAGTTCTCCTAAGCAAAGCACAATATTTCCAAACCTCTTCAGTGTCGCTGCTCTGTGGCAGTGGAGGACTGAACTGTCTGGGTAGCTCCATTGGCCAATTGAGTGCATCTGCTTGAATGTGGCACTGAGTGTTGATAGGTTTTGACAAAATGTTAGCTTCACCCTTGCTAATGAGCTGTCAGAGTATGTCTGCCATTACTAACCTGTATCTCCTCAAAAGCCTCGTCAATAGTGGTGACTTGGTGCTGCTCGTGTAGCGCTGGCTCGTCGCAGAAAAAGCACACCAGGCTTTTGTCGGTGAGGCAGAAGAGCTTGACCTTCTCGTGGTCCTTGCAGGGGTATGAGCTCCTCTGAGCGTTGAGGATGGCGTCCAGCGGGAAGGCTGAGTAGCGCTCCACAATGTTGGACAACTTGAGGCTGGGCGAGAGATGAGGATCGGCGAAGGTCCTCCGGCACTCAGGACAGTCCCTTGTTCCGTGGAGCTCCTGCCTGCTCCAGTGCTCAGTGATGCACTTCCTGCAGAAGTAGTGCTCGCAGCCGAAACTGACGGGGTCCTGGTAGATGCTGAGGCAGATGGAACAGAGGAGCTCGTCCTTTAAGCAGCAAGCCATTTGCAAAGACGGAGACTGAGTGGCATCTACGAGGGCAATGTTCTGGAGCTGAATGTACTTAGTTTAATCTTCAAGTCAGTGGTTTACTGCCATGTGGGGGTGCACAAGACAAGATGAAAAGATCCTCAGGAATCTTCCGCTTCAACGTCTCTGTTGAAATACGACAAACAATTAAAATAATATTGTATTATAGACGTCAGTGCATGGGCAAATGCATTTATACAAACAGATCATTGACAGGAGCTGGTTACACAGTAACCAAGAGTTAATGCCGTCACGTTTTAGGTAAAAACGGGAATCACATAAAAAATCCAACTTCTTTTAATCTGAGTATTGTTTTCTTAGCATTTCAATAAAGTGTATTGAACACCTTATGGGGTTTTAACTGCAGGATGGATAGTCATAGTAATAACTAATCTTAAAATGTCCCGTTGTCTTGGAACATTTTATTTTCACAACTTTGTCTTTATTTATTTTTCAGACCAAATGCTTTGCTGCATAAGAAAACAATTCCTGAGGAATTGATAATAACAATTATTAGTTGTAATCCATTTTATGCCATTAGTTTCACAAAAGAGAAATCTAGTTTAATTTTTGTCAGAAAGCCCCTTACCTGAGGTAACTTAAATATGCCAATGCTTTTATGAAAATACTTTCCCACCCTGCTACACCCCTTTCCCCTGTCATTGTGGAGGATCTGTTGATTTCCAAAGCAAACTGTCTGCACCAACCAACATAACAGGGAAACACCTGCAGCGGTATTACCCCCGCTGCTCTCTTTCTCCTATCCCGGTGTTCAAAAGCTTCCTTTAAATTCCCATTAGAAAGCCGACTGGCTTTAACAACCGAGCCCTTTTTATGTCTTAGTATCTACCACATACTGTAGAGACACTATTTGTGCTATATCTTAGTATACATGCTTTTTTTTAATTGGCTTTCTCCACATTGCTTGCAAGCTGGATTTGTAAACATAACAGACCAGGACCACGACACCACCAACCACACCGGGAGGATGAGAGGGTAAGACACACAGAAATGGTGCGAAACTAATTGAAAATGCAATACATTTTAAAAGTTGGATTCGGGGAAGGAATGTTAGCGGTAAAGTTGTATTTATATGACAACTGATAATCGAAAGAATGGGGGGGGGGGAGCCTGAACTCACCGACTTCTTCACAGCAACATCCGTGGCTCCAATGCAAGTGTACTGTCTTTCAGGAAGGAGAGCAGCTCACAGCGGCAACAGACGCAACCAACTGCACTCAACGGAGGGGGGGTTATCAAACATATTCATTACAAGACAACTGCTGTTTGTTGATAAATACGTAACGAAAAGGAATGTGAGATCATCTATTACTTAATTCAGAAAGGTAAGTAATTGAATGACTGTTTACAAGCCTAAAATAGCATTATAAATGTAACCTGTAATGTAGTGTAACTTCATCGACAAAATGGAGTGGCTCAAATGTCCTCAATCTCGTATTAGCATCGCTGCCTAGCTACCTTGATTACAACAAATAAACAGGGTAAAATACACGAAATGCAACTTGATTTGTTTGACAAACTGTTTGACCCCATTAAAAATATAAGCGTATGAGTTGACATGAGAATGGACAGTCACTAGTGTTCACTGTTAAACGCGTTAATGGGCCGAAGGAGAGGGGCTTCGGCGGGCTGCAGTGTTCGCCTTCAGCCAGCAGATGTCAGCAGAAAACACCTTATTCGTCCCGGTGCAGGAGCTGGAGGTCCTTTAAACCCGGGGTTCCCAAACTTTTCAGCCCGCGACCCCCAAAATAACAGTGCCAGAGCCCCACTCTGGGAACCCCTGCTTTAAACAGCGGCTGTTATGTCAGAGGCTCAGGTTAGTATGTGCTGTAATACATTTGGATACATTAGTGAGTCCCAAATTTTAGGGGAAAAGTCTCTGACTTTTGTGTATGTTGTCTTCAGTTGTAGACTATTACCAAGTAGTAATTTGTATTTTAATCAGAATCAGAATACGTTTATTTGTCCCACAGAGGGGAAATTTAAAAAATACAAATACATTTTACGTGAATATCGTATATACCGAATAATACGTTTCACTACACTTCAAACGGCAATAGTACATTTTACTTGAGTCCAATTTTGTAAAGCTGTAGTTTGTTTTCAAAGGATGGGTTTGTTAAAAATACATAGGCTACGAGTAACACAAATATATGTAATGCATTATTAGAAAACAAATTACCCAAAAAGGGACCAGTTTCAACATGATATTTTATTACAAAGCAATGCATTAGAAGTAATGTAATACAATCATAATATAAAACTGACAGCTTCTCAGCTGCCTTTTTATTGTATAACTTATTGCACATACACCACTGAAGTCAAGACTATATTTACATTTGTATTTACTGTATATACATATAAACATATCGACAATTGATTACTTTGAGATGGAAACCAAGCTTCTTTTGTTGTCTTCATAAAGACTTGCAAAATATAAATCAGATTGTTTTCAATGTTGCAACATGACAGAAAGAAAAATAAGAATTTATCATTCTCTCATGCCGGTGACTCTTCATGTGTGTAACTTTCATCCTCCTGCACTGACATCAGTGATTCTTTTCCGGCTTCTTGTTGCGGGATGCTTAACAACTCCTCTTCCTCTCTAAACTGGAGTTGAGACTCTATATGCGTGCCATTCGGTGTCCCACAAGGCCCATGTCCTATGTTTACAGTGATGTTGACAATGGGAATGGTTGTTAGAGGGCTGATGACCTGAGGGCTGGTGGGCTGAGAGAAGGACTGTGGGGGGACGCTGGCCTGGGGCCTGACGGGCTCCATGTCGGATATTAAAGTCATTAAAGGCAGGGTTTCCCTTAAATAACCCTTATTGATCTGCAATAGAAAGGAATGAAAAGGTTAATTCTCAGTGTTCTGTTTAACAGGTATTCACTGAAAAAAAAAAAGAGAAAAAGACTCACTTTATCCCCACTTTCACAATTGCCATTTGCATCCACTCCAGGAGGAAATATTGCAGCATCTGGGTTAAAAACTGAGTAAGCAAAGAGTCAGATAGTGAAAATGTGAGACCAACAGCAATAAACAATAAAGTTGATGACAAATAAGGGTCATTATCATCCTGAATTTCAAGTTGAAGATAAATGTAACATGTATACAATCATAGCTTTTCCATAAAACGAGTACATGATTAAAGGGGAAATATTATGAGAAACTAGATTTTCAGTGCTTGTGCACAAACATTTGCATGCAGGTATATTCATAAAGATAACATAAGGTAAACAATGTGTTTTTGAACAATAAAGAATGTGAACATCTTCTCAAATTGAATTATGAACCTAGAAATTAGTATAATAATATGTGCCCTTTAAAAGAAAATCAGGATGCAATTACCTTTCTTCCAGCGTGGCTTACAAAGAAACAGAAGAATGATAGCGATGAAAACAAGTAATCCAATAACACCGGCGAGGACCGCAGGTACCATAGAGTCTAACACACAAACGACACATGGGCGGAAGGGGGAATGATAAACCAATGATTAGACCTCACAATTTTCTCAGCATGACTTCATTTGAAACATTAAATCAGTTAGTTACCGTACCCGGTGTACTGTCAGGTGATGAGCTTGTTGGGGGGGGTTTTGTGGAATAGTTGAATACGTCCCCTGAAGCAGATGGGCTTAAGGACAGTGTGGAGTCTGGCGTTCCACGTGTAGTTTCAGAGGTCACTAATAATGTACTCATCACTTCAGTTGCAGTTGAGAACAACATCTCAGTGGGGGGATTTTTCGTTGAGGTTTGTGACTGCGTGTTTGCATTAGGAGGCTCACACATCGTGTCTGAGGTCGCATCGCCTTTTTTGACAACAACCCTCCCATAGCAGCTGCAGAGAAACAGAGAGAGAGGTTAAAGATCTGAGCTCCAAACAGCTGAGTATAAACGTGATTATTCTTCACTCACTTTGTGTGAGGCTGACAGTGGTCAACAGATGAAACTGTGTCAGAGAATGTCCCATTGGGGCACCGTTTACACCTCACATCGGAGTTTCCTGTCCCTGAGAGAAACACCCAAAACACCAACATTTCACTTTCAGGCATCACATGACATTTTAACGCTATGATACACCCTGTCTGTAACATGTTATCAATTGGATTACATTGAACATCAAGTTTGACAGTAAATGTGGTGGATTAAGACCTTTGAGACGTGTATGTAACAACTTTTATGATATGATATTTATTACAGTATACATAAAAAACATTGAAAGTCAATTGGAGATGTCTTGACATTTATACTTGAGTCCTTACTCTGTAAACTATAACTCTATTCTTGATACATGCAATATCCAGTAATTGATGATCAGATCTCACACAAATTGGATTTTTCAATTTATATCTAAATTGAAACCAGAATATTTAGGAACTACATGTAAGGTAAACACACAAACAGTGACGATTGAAAAATACTAGTTGCTGTACCTGGACTATGTATTCCCCAGCCAGCTCTGCATGTCTTGTAATTGTTACATGCTGCGCAGTGTTTGCCATCAAATCCCATGATGCAATACTTTCCAGGCTGACACACACACCTGGAGCTTGAGGAAGAGGAGCAGCTTTGGGCCTCTTGCAGACCTTTAGCTTGTTAAACGTAGAAAAATATAGTGATAGTTGTTAAAAATAATAACAATGAATTATTTCCTCCAAAATGTTATATTCAGAGATGTTCAGCTCAGCTATACTCACATATTTTGCATTTGGGACAGGTGGCGCAGTTTTGAGCGTAGTTCCAGTTCTCCGTGTACTGGCCCGTTGGACATTCTTCACACACAGTTGTATTCGTTTCTGAGCATTTTTGTTTCCATTTCTGTCCTGTGAGAATATGTACATGAAGGAATCCACAATAATACACATGTCAAGGCATTTTATAACAGAACATGGGCATCGTAAATGACCATTAACAGACAACAATATAAAGGTTCAAAACATACATTTCACATTTATCTCACGCAATTCGGTGTATATCATAGTACCTCACTTTCTTGGTTTTCCTGGCTAAAAGATATCATCCCATCTTTATACCTAAAACAGTGTTGCTCATCATAGTTACAAATAAAATGTTGATGCCTGTTTGTATAGCACCAAATGCTGGTTAACATGTATTTTATGTCTCTGAAGGTTTTTACTATTTCTATACTTACATATTTTGGTAACACTTCACAATAAGACTACCCTTATAAAGGGTTTACGAATAGTTTGTAATTCATTTATTAATTAGGTTGTGAACACTTTATAAATCATGAATAAGCTTTTATAAGACTTGAGATAAACAGGGCGACTGTGACCGGTTGCTTGCCAAATAGTGAGCCCACATTCATCTGTACTGCTAAGCCTTATTAGAAATGGTAGTAACTCATCAATAAATGGGAATGTGTTTTACACTTTACAATAAGGCTCCCTTTTGGCAACTATAAATGTTAGTAACTCGTAAATAAATGGTCATAA